TAAGACGACAAAACAAAAAGTCTTTATATCTTAAGTTCTAAGTTTATTTGGGAGAGGTTAGTCTACCAATAACTAAATCTGTCAAGAAAAGCAGTATAGAGTTGTACGTTATGAAAACGGTATTTAGTTTCTGCGGTTTAAAGAGTTATTTAATGCTTCATTTCTAAACTATCATATTAACAATTAATCACGACAAACTTATGCATCATTTACACATCTGATTCTTTAAACAGTATCACAGTTGTTCAAGAATTAACAGCAGATACATACCTTGAACTGTGGAACTGTCATTTCAAAAGACTTGTTTGTTATTTGTCCTGAAGGCTCTGCCACTTTTAATGTCACTGTAACGTAAGGATACTTGAGAGACCTGCAGGTGTCAGAGCTCATTGCAACTCCCAGTTTCCAACTAATATCTATAAACTACAAAGAAGAAAACAATTACTGGGAACAGTAATTAAGGAAAAGATCTAACCTACTCTTACAATTCTGTTGTACAGACGTTTTCCAAGTGACACAGCCCATATCCAAATGCGAAACAAACATCCAAACACTACTGTGAAAATTCCGTTTACAATAAAGTCATCTGCCCTTCCTTATAAAGGAAAAAAGTTACGTTTTATTTCACTTAAATCTGCTTATAGTTGAAGTTGAATTCAAAAACACAGTTCACAAAAAGTGTACAACAGAAGAAATTAAGAAAACCAGGGTATTTGAAAACTATTATAGATAAACCATGGTACGCCAAATATTTCAGATGGGTAAACTATAAATATAAAAGACTGAAAATGTCAAGAACTAGAGCTGCTAAATAAGAAAAAGAACATGCAGAAAGCTATTTCCTACTTAGTATCAAGTTACTATTATTTTTAATTCTGCACTCTGACTGTTAGTGCTGGAAAAAAGATCTCAAAACTGCAGGTGCACTTTGCAAAACAAGCAATCCACCTCAATGGGATTATAAGGAGTGAATGAAACTACCTTGGGAAAACAAAAACAAACCTGTTCATCTGCATATGAGGAAGAACTTTTTTACTGTGAGGGTGGCAGTGCCCTGGAACAGGCTGCTCAGAGAGGCTGTGGACTCTCTTTCTGCGGAGATCTTCCAAACCCGCCTGGATGCCACCCTGTGCCACGGGCTCCAGGTGTCCCTGCTGGAGCAGGGGGGTTGGACTAGGCGATCTCTAGAGGTCCCTTCCAACCTCAACCATTCTGTGATCCTGTGATAGTTTCGGGCAGTCAAGATACCATTATGTGTCTCACAACACTAAAAGAAACGCTGATATTTCGGAAGAGTTAACTCAGCTCGACTACACTTGTTTAGTTACCTGCCCCACTGTGTCCATATCTCTTGCATCTTCTGATGCACTAACAGCTTTGCCCTGCTCATTCCACACATGACGAATGACTTGAACCGCGTGTTTCGGCAGGGCGCCGACTTCACTGCCCAGAGCCACGACAAGCTCTTCCGTGGAAAGATGGTTTCTGGCTGCTGTGCTATAGGTATAACCAAAGAACACCACATCAATTGCATTTTCTAAGAATTGAATAATGCTTCTCACTTCAAATAGGCAAAAAGCCGTTCTGCTTTTTTTCCTTATTTCTTTTTAAATAATTAGGCAGGCTGCGACTTGTTTTTAAAAAATTCACTCATCTGGAAATATGACTTTCATATCCATACATAAGAAACAATATGTGACTTTTTAGCGTATCTTAAGATAAGGAAACAGAGACCAAGCTTCAATCTGTTTGTACAAATTCCAAAATTAAAGCAGAAATAGTCTCAGTCTCCAAGTGCTGTTGCAGCTGTAGAAAAAGGGGCCTAAATGAGTGAAGGATGTACATACACATAGAGCAGTTAAGACTATTACATAAAATTATTACTTTAGAAACAAAGTAATTTAATTAAATGTTTAAGAAAGGTAATTTAAGTACCACCAAAGGGCTAATAAGGACCTCAAGGTAGTTGTAAAAATGCTAAAAACAT